CTTAAAGAAATAATTCTAGCCATTGAGAAAAAAACTTATTATATCCAGGAAAATGTCAATGTGTAATCTCTAGTAGCTTCTCAGAAGACTAGAAAAGAATTGTAAAGATTTCAATAGTTACTCACTGTTGAAATATGGGCATCAATATTGTAGTAAAGTATGTCTATATAATTTAATCAAGAATGCTAATGTCACTTGTAATTCTTCGGTGCTTCTTGTGCTTAATTACAAAATTCTTCCACGAAAATTTTGGAATCGTGAATTTTGAGTAAGAAACTGTCAGTTCAACTCAAAGTTCACCTGCTTATCTTTTATTACTATCAATAGCTGAAAGATAAAAACTCGCTGAATTCTTCAATGTATTCACCCAAATGACTGATTGTCTCTTCACACCAAAATATTGCTTCTGTTTGAATTTTGTAGATGGAAGAGAGTAGATGTAATTGTTTCATGTAAGGCATTCTTTAAGGATAGGAATTTCTGCTTAATGCATGAGTGCTGAATGTGCATGGTCATGCTCATTTCTTGGAACCTGATTTGTATTATATTCTATGCATGAATAATTTAGATGAGTGGCTTAAGAATGAAGGTTGCTGGAAGATTTAAGCCTTGTGAACACATGGGCTGTTTCGATCTTGAAGTTTTTGTGGAAATGAACCAGCGATGTAGGAAGGCAAGTAAATATAATACTTGATTATATGTTTTGGCGTTCTCTTGGCCATGTTTTGATTGTTGTACCTGGATGCAGTGGCAATGCCCTATTTGTCTCAAGAACTACTCTTTGGAGAAAATTATCATAGATCCATTTTTCAATCGGATCACATCTAAGGTATTGCCTGTACTATGATTTGTCATTGGTCTAAGTTCTTATTTTATGTGTTCATTAATTCCACTTTCGTGTTATTATGTTTTGCAGATGCGGAATTGTGAAGATGATATGGCAGAGATTGAAGTAAAGGCTGATGGCTCTTGGCGTGTGAAGGCAGAAGGCAATCATAGGGGTCTTGGGGATCTTGGACTATGGCACTTACCTGATGGAACTCTCTCTGTTGATGGAGGATCAAAACCTGAATCAGAACTAAAACTAATCAAACGGGAAGGTTTGCCTGACAGTCGTGCTGGTCTGAAACTGGGAATGAAGAAAAACCAAAATGGTTGCTGGCAATTCAACAAACCTGATGATACCCGGAGTATGCTATCTGCAAATAGATTACCAGAAAATTTTAGGGATAATGGTCAGAATATTATTCCTATGAACAGTAGTGCCACTGGCAATGGCAGAGATGGTGAAGATGCTTGTGTTATCCAGGATGGTGGGGGGAACTTTAATTTTTCAACAAACAATGGTATTGAGCTTGACTCTATTTCTGTGAATGTTGATCCAACATATGGTTTTTGTGACCCAAGTTCATCTTCAGCATTTTTGGATGCTGAACTCATTGTCCTCAGTGATTCAGAAGAAGAAAATGAACCAGCGACGACTTCTCGAGATGTCTACAAGAATAATTGGACAGACACTGGTGGAGTCTCTCTTCCATCTGCTCAGCATGGAATTCCTAATTCTTATCATGGAAATCCAGCTCTTGGTAATGCTGGAAGTTCATGCCTTGGGGTTCTCAGTTCTAATGATGATGATTTTGGAACGCATACTTGGTCTTTGCCTTCTGGTAGTCAGGGTGGCCCTGGTTTTCGGTTATTTGATTCAGATGCAGATGTTTATGGTGCATTGAACGATATGCAGTATGGGTTTATTAATTGTCCGAAGTCTATTAGTGGCTATTCGTTGACTGCAGAGAGTGCTATGGGATCTGCTGCAGTTTTTTCCAAGTCTTCTGTTCGCTGCTGTAAAATGAATGATGGCTTAACTGATAATCCCTTAGCATTTAGCAGTGGTGATCCTTCACTGCAAATGCTTCTCCCCACAAGGCCATTGGAGTCATTGGCGCAGGCTGAGTTGAGAGACCATCCAGATGTTTCAAATGGTATCTGTACTGAGGATTGGATTCCTCTGAAGCTTGGGGGTGGTGGACGAGGTGGTCATGGTGAGACTGCTGGTGCAAATGTTTTAAAATCCAGTCAGCAATCACAATCCAAGAATGGTGCTTTGAATTCATTAGCGGACACTGGTATGTGACGCTATCAGGTTCAATCTGTGTGTGTGTGTGTGTGTGTGTGTGTGTGTGTGT